CCTCACAACCTCTGAGGATGCTTGCCATAGATACAGGTGAAACATCAGGAGAGAATGCTTCTAGAGCATGGCCATATAGCCCAAAAAATCTACAACAACCCAATGGAGTTTGGCTTTAATTTGAAAGGCATGGCTCAATGAATGGAATCATTTATTTTATTTTATTTCGAACATTGCATGCTGGTCGCTTCTGTTTCATCTATGCTGATGATCGTGCCATAACTGCTCAAGCAGGGAGCTTTGAGACTGTAGAACAGAAGCTCTCCGAAGCTCTAGGTGCTCTTACTGCCTACTACAGGGAAAACCAGCTGATCCCTAACCCATCTAAAACACAGACATGTGCCTTTCATCTCAAGAACAGAGAAGCATCCCGAGCTCTGAAGATCACCTGGGAAGGAATCCCACTGGAGCATTGCAGCGCACCCAAATACCTGGGAGTCACTCTGGACCGTGCTCTGACCTACAAGAAGCACTGCCTGAACATCAAGCAAAAAGTGGGTGCTAGACACAATATCATACGAAAGCTGACTGGCACAACCTGGGGATCACAACCAGACACAGTGAAGACATCTGCCCTTGCGCTATGCTACTCTGCTGCTGAGTATGCATGCCCAGTGTGGAACACATCTCACCACGCTAAAACAGTGGATGTGGCTCTTAATGAGACATGTCGCATTATCACGGGGTGTCTGCGCCCTACACCACTGGAGAAATTACACTGCTTAGCCGGTATTGCACCACCTGACATCCGCCGGGAAGTAGCAGCCAATAGTGAAAGGACCAAGGCAGAGACATCTCCAGCTCATCCCCTGTTTGGGTATCAGCCAGCACGTCAACGACTTAAATCAAGAAATAGTTTTCTAAGATCTACAGAGACACTCGCTGGAACACCCCAGCAAGCGAGAGTCCAAAAGTGGCAGGCTCAAACCCAGCACCTCAACCAATGGCTGATAGCAAATGAGAGACCCCCTCGTGGGAACACAGAAAACTGGGGTCACTTTGTGATGCATTGCTTTGTGATGTCCAGCAGATGGCACTGTTTTTCATGCCATGCGTGTTTTTACCTGTCACAGGTGTGACATCTATATAATAGAAGGTGAGTGAATACATAAAAACATTCACCTGTTCGAATGCTACGCGGTGTCCAAATTTCAAAGCAATCGGTGAAGTATTTTGGGAGATTTGAGGTCATTCACAGATGGACATTTACATTTTTGGGTTGTTGTAGGTTTTTCCGGGTTATATGGCCATGTTCTAGAGGCATTTTCTCCTGACGTTTCGCCTGCATCTATGGCAAGCATCCTCAGAGGTAGTGAGGTCTGTTGGATGTAGGAAAATGGGTTGTGTCAGGAGTGACTTGAGAAACTGCAAGTCGCTTCTGGTGTGCGAGAATTGGCTGTCTGCAAGGACGTTGCCCAGGGGACGCCTGGATGAATTGATGTTTTATCATCCTTGTGGGAGGCTTCTCTCATGTCCCCGCATGAGGAGCTGGAGCTGATAGAGGGAGCTCATCCGCCTCTCCCCGGATTCGAACCTGCGACCTGTCTTCAGTCCTGCTGGCACAGGGCTTTAACCCACTGCGCCACCGGGGGCTCCTGTGAAATGAAGAAAGGGGTAAAGAGGAAGGGAAAGAAGGAGAGAAGGTTGGCCACAGCAATGGGTGGCGGGTACAGCTAGTCTATATAAATAAAAATGTAATGTTCGTTTGTGGGATTAACATAAATCAAAAACCACTGAAGGAATTGACACGAAATTTTTACACAATACACCTCTCAGGCCAACGAGTGACCATCACTCCTAAAAACACTGAAAAACAGATCTTCACATTTGGGAGTTGTAGTTGCTAGGATTTATAGTTCACTTACAATCAAAGAGCATTCTGAACCCCACCAACAATAGAATTTGGCCAAACTTCCCAAAAATTACCCCCATGACCAACAGAAAATACTGTGTTTTCTGATGGCATTTGGTGACCCCTCTGACACCCCCTCACATCCCCCACAGGGGCCCCAACCCCCAGGTTGAAAAATGCTGATCTGCAGCTTTGCAATCCTCCATTGTGGATTTCGACTGGCTCCTGCTCAGCCCAATCCAGGGGACTCGACGCAGAGGCCCCAGCTGCGCATGGAAGCTTCCAGTTGCGTCCCTTTCTGGGTCTGTGTGATGGCCACTTGATGTGCAGTGACACACCTGGGGTACTTGGCCTTTCTCCCAGCTCCCGGGAAACATTTGCCGTCTGAGTGCCATTCACAGCGTTAACCTTTCAACAGCTGAGCTACCACCTGGCGAGCTGCGATGAATATTTTCCTCTTGGATCTTCGGTTTCCTTCCCCGTTCAGCGCCAGGTGTTGCTGAGGGATTAACATAAGCCAGACTTTGGTCTTTCTTCTCAAACAACCTCCTTCTTCTTTCCCTGGGATTCCTCTTCCAGGACTTAGGAGTCTTTGACACTGCACAATATTATATAGCAAGACTGCATATATTAACCAGCTCCATTTTGTGGAACCATGGGATTTACATAGTCTGCCATCGAATTGATGCAGTTGAATTCTGTGGGAGTTTGTAGTTTGGTGACGCATCAACACTCTGTATTTTCTGTTGGACACGGGTGAACTGTGTGCCAAGTTTCATTCAATTCCATAGTTGGTGGGGTTCAGAATCCTCTTTGATTGTAGGTGAACTATAAATCCCAGCAGCTACAACTCCCAAATGACAAAATGAATTTTTTTGAGTGAAGGTCATACATTGGGTTGTTAGGTGTCTTGTGTCCAAATTTGGTGTCAATTTGCCCAGTGGTTTTTGAGTTAAGTTGATCCCACAAACGAACATGATGTTTTTATTTATATAGATTTATGTGCAGGATTTGTGTAGCGCTCTTCTCAATCCCGAAGGGAACTCAGGGCAGTTCACAGTGTATATACATATAACTTGTAAGCCGCTCTGAGTCCCTTTCTAGATGAGAGAGGGCAGGGTATAAAAATAGTAAATATATAAATAAACACATTAAAAAGTAAGTAAATAAATCTAAAGAGATCAGGGAAAATACACAGACCAGTTAGATATGATCTCACTAACATTCCTAGCGAATATACAGTGGAAGTGAAGAACAGATTTGAAGGACTAGATTTAGTAAACAGAGTCCCAGAAGAACTATGGACAGAAGTCCGCGACATTGTTCAGGAGGTGGCAACAAAGTACGTCCCAAAGAAAAAGAAAACCAAGAAGGCAAAATGGTTGTCTGCTGAGACACTGGAAGTAGCCCAAGAAAGGAGGAAAGCAAAAGGAAACAGGGATAAGGGGAGATATGCCCAGTTAAATGCGCAATTCCAGAGGTTAGCCAGAAGAGATAAGGAACTATTTTTGAACAAGCAATGCATGGAAGTGGAAGAAGACAACAGAATAGGAAGGATAAGAGACCTCTTCCACAAAATTGAAACATTGGAGGTAAATTTCAGGCAAAAATTGGCATGATAAGAAACAAAGATGGCAGGGACCTAACAGAAGCTGAAGAGATCAAGAGAAGGTGGCGAGACTATACAGAAGATCTGTATAGGAAGGATAATAATATCGAGGATAGCTTTGACGGTGTGGTGAATGAATTAGAACCAGATATCCTGAGGAGTGAGGTTGAATGGGCCTTAAGAAGCATTGCTAACAACAAGGCAGCAGGAGACGACGGGATCCCAGCTGAACTGTTTAAAATCTTAAAAGATGATGCTGTCAAGGTGATGCATGCCATTGCCAGCAAATATGGAAAACACAAGAATGGCCATCAGACTGGAAATAAAATCAACTTATATCCCCATACCAAAAAAGGGAAATGCGAAAGACTGCTCAAACTTCCGTACAGTGGCCCTTATTTCTCATGCCAGTAAGGTAATGCTCAAGATCCTGCAAGGAAGACTCCAGCAAGACATGGAGCGAGAGTTGCCAGATGTTCAAGCTGGGTTTAGAAAAGGCAGAGGAACGAGAGACCAGATTGCCAATATCCGCTGGATAATGGAGAAAGGCAGGGAGTTTCAGAAAAACATCTACTTCTGCTTCATTGACTATTCTAAAGCCTTTGACTGTGTGGATCATAATATATTACAGTACATAAGCCACCTTGTCTCTCTCCTGAGGAATCTGTACAAGGACCAAGTAGCAACAGTAAGAACTGACCACGGAACAACAGACTGGTTCAAGATTGGGAAAGGCGTACGGCAAGGCTGCATACTCTCACCCAACCTTTTTAACTTGTATGCAGAACACATCATGCGAGGAGGTGCGGGGCTTGATGAATGCAAAGCTGGGGTGAAAATTGCTGGAAGAAACATTAACAACCTCAGATATGCAGATGACACCACTCTGATGGCCGAAAGCGAGGAGGAGCTGAGGAGCCTTCTAATCAAGGTGAAAGAAGACAGCATGGGGGGCCCTGCTGAAAACCAGGACACAAAACAGATCAAGATAAATCCCGACTGCATTTTCTTTCACCCACCTTGACTTTTATTGGGATTTGATAAACTAGAAACAAAGGATCAAATCTATAGATCTATGCTTTAACACATGATGGTGAGGCAGGTTTATAGCTCTTCACGTTTTTTCCTGTTCTGCTTCTCAGTAAAGGATTCTGGAGACAGCTGCTGTTTATTCTGCCTGTTGTAAACAGGCATTATTTGTTAAGGCTGGATCAACAAGAGAAGACTTCAATGCTTTCCAACTGGGCTTTATTGCATTGTTCATGTCATACTTGGTGCTGCAACCTAACATGGACTTTCTTTCTCCATCTGTCCTTCACTACCCCTCAAATGCGATGTTCATAGCAGTCAAGGAAGAACATGGGCCTCAAAAAGACAATGTAAAAAGGAGCTTCTTTATCAGAGGCTTTGTTAACTGAGGCAGGCCTGAATGAAATGCACCAAATTCTTCATCATTTACCTCACAAAAAGCTTGAATTAAAGAAGTCCATTATGTGATACCAGCTCATATTCCTTGCAAATCTTAAAATTTGGTATTACCGTGTTCCCAAACTTCGTGAAATGTACTAATGCAGTGGAACTCATTTCCAGAACAATCTACTCTGGCGGATCCGCAGTGAGAAATGTCAGTGGCAAAGCAGGCTGGGCAGGACTTCCCGTTGGGTGTGATGAACCCTGGTTGGACTGAAAGACAATAAAAGGGGTTCATCATAAGTGCATGTAAAAAATGATATTTCTGATTTATCCTATCAAGCCTTGTGAATTATAACAGTGCATTGCACTTGAGAGCAAAATCTTCCCCACCATGTGCTCCTCTGAATATTGCAGCCGATCTCTGAAGAAAAGCAATCAAAATATCCTCTTAGATCTATCCAAAGATTTACCCAAAGAATGGCAGTTCAACCTCAGTGTTGCTTGTCATCAGAAAAAGAGAGCTCAAATTGCTTTGAAAGACATCCTCATGGGACTCCACCTAAAGCAATGGTTGGAATTGAACAGCCCTCCTTTTTTTGCTCAGCTGCTGATTCCAGTGTCCCTGCAAACTTGCCCAACCATTTCTGGAAGGGTGCTGTTCCAGACCTAAAGAAAAGTCAACCTCCAGAATACTTACATCGAGGAGCAGCAGTCTTGCAGGCCTCCCCTATACAACAGATGACATTTGACCGTTCATATATCCCTCGACCCATATTTAGATATTGCAAAGGAGTGTTACAAACATTTGTGTGCTCGCAGGCTTTTACTGCTCTCAGTTGAGGTTTTCCATCTGCAAATAAGCAATTCACTTACTCAAAATAGGGAAATATAAATTCTCGCTGATCCATGCCTTCCTTGAGTCAGCCAATTTCAACAAAAATCACATGCCATGTATCTCTTATATGTCTGGCTAACTTCCCCTTCTCCCAAGCAGCAAATTATGCATGTTTCTTCATTCCACAAAGATCACCACCATGTGTAGTAGGTCATATCAGGAAACTACAGCTAGAGCCGTGTGACTCCATAATACCCCCTTCCTCTTCACTTGGTCCCCGCACAACCATGACAGCAAGTTTCAGGTGTTTCAAAGATGTGTGGAGCGGAGGAGGAATGCGGCATATGCAGGTGGAGAACACTTGCTTTGCAACACTGAACAAAAGAACATTCACAAACAATTATGTTTTACTAATCGTGTAGTCAACTGCACCAGCTGATTCTGTTGTGGTTCTGTTACCAGTATTTCCTGTATTACGATCTGAATTTATATTGGCCTTTCCTGTATGACCTCCTTTCTTTACTCTTTCCCCTTTCTTTACTCTTACAGGGTCCTAAATATTTTATTGAAATATCAGGAAAGTAATTTATCTGAACAGAAGACTCACAATGTGTGTATTCAACTAATACTACAACACAGGTTTTAAGGTCATAGTCACAGAGGCGATTCCTTCCTGAACACGTTAGGCCATCCTTGTAACATTTTTCACATCTCAGAGGTTCACCTGAAAAGAAGAGAAGGAAACAAATCCATTTGATCCCACAAACGAACATGATGTTTTTATTTATATAGATTTATGTGCAGGATTTGTGTAGCGCTCTTCTCAATCCCGAAGGGAACTCAGGGCAGTTCACAGTGTATATACATATAACTTGTAAGCCGCTCTGAGTCCCTTTCTAGATGAGAGAGGGCAGGGTATAAAAATAGTAAATATATAAATAAACACATTAAAAAGTAAGTAAATAAGAGTCTAAAGAGATCAGGGAAAATACACAGACCAGATAGATATGATCTCACTAACATTCCTGGCGAATATACAGTGGAAGTGAAAAACAGATTTGAAGGACTAGATTTAGTAAACAGAGTCCCAGAAGAACTATGGATAGAAGTCTGCGACATTGTTCAGGAGGTGGCAACAAAGTACGTCCCAAAGAAAAAGAAAACCAAGAAGGCAAAATGGTTGTCTGCTGACACTGGAAGTAGCCCAAGAAAGGAGGAAAGCAAAAGGAAACAGGGATAAGGGGAGATATGCCCAGTTAAATGCGCAATTCCAGAGGTTAGCCAGAAGAGATAAGGAACCATTTTTAAATAAGCAATGCATGGAAGTTGAAGAAGACAACAGAATAGGAAGGACAAGAGACCTCTTCCAGAAAATTAGAAACATTGGAGGTAAATTCAGGCAAAAATTGGTATGATAAGAAACAAAGATGGCAGGGACCTAACAGAAGCTGAAGAGATCAAGAGAAGGTGGCGAGACTATACAGAAGATCTGTATAGGAAGGATAATAATATTGAGGATAGTTTTGACGGTGTGGTGAATGAATTAGAACCAGACATCCTGAGGAGGGAGGTTGAATGGGCCTTAAGAAGCATTGCTAACAACAAGGCAGCAGGAGACGACGGGATCCCAGCTGAACTGTTTAAAATCTTAAAAGATGATGCTGTCAAGGTGATGCATGCCATATGCCAGCAAATATGGAAAACACAAGAATGGCCATCAGACTGGAAAAAATCAACTTATATCCCCATACCAAAAAAGGGAAATGCGAAAGACTGCTCAAACTTCCGTACAGTGGCCCTTATTTCTCATGCCAGTAAGGTAATGCTCAAGATCCTGCAAGGAAGACTCCAGCAATACATGGAGCGAGAGTTGCCAGATGTTCAAGCTGGGTTCAGAAAAGGCAGAGGAACCAGAGACCAGATTGCCAATATCCGCTGGATAATGGAGAAAGGCAGGGAGTTTCAGAAAAACATCTATTTCTGCTTCATTGACTATTCTAAAGCCTTTCTGTGTGGATCATAATAAATTGTGGCAAGTTCTTGGTGGGATGGGCATCCCAAGCCACCTTGTCTCTCCTGAGGAATCTGTACAAGGACCAAGTAGCAACAGTAAGAACTGACCATGGAACAACAGTGGTTCAAGATTGGGAAAGGCGTACGGCAAGGCTGCATCCTCTCACCCAACCTTTTTAACTTGTATGCAGAACACATCATGCGATGTGCGGGGCTGGATGAATGCAAAGCTGGGGTGAAAATTGCTGGAAGAAACATTAACAACCTCAGATATGCAGATGACACCACTCTGATGGCCGAAAGCTAGGAGGAGCTGAGGAGCCTTCTAATCAAGGTGAAAGAAGAAAGCGCAAAAGCCGGGTTGCAGCTAAACATCAAAAAAACCAAGATTATGGCAACAAGAATGATTGACAACTGGAAAATAGAGGGAGAAAATGTGGAGGCCATGACAGACTTTGTATTTCTAGGCGCAAAGATTACTGCAGATGCAGACTGTGGCCAGGAAATCAGAAGACGCTTCCTTCTTGGGAGGAGAGCAATGTCCAGTCTCGATAAAATAGTAAAGAGTAGAGACATCAGACTGGCAACAAAGATCCGCCTAGTCAAAGCTATGGTATTCCCTGTAGTAACCTACGGATGTGAGAGCTGGACCTTAGGGAAGGCTGAGCGAAGGAAGATCGATGCTTTTGAGCTGTGGTGTTGGAGGAAAGTTCTAAGAGTGCCTTGGACTGCGAGAAGATCCAACCAGTCCATCCTCCAGGAAATAAAGCCCGACTGCTCACTGGAGGGAAGGATACTAGAGACAAAGTTGAAGTACTTTGGCCATATCATGAGGAGACAGCAAAGCCTAGAGAAGACAATTATGCTGGGGAAAGTGGAAGGTAAAAGGAAGAGGGGCCGACCAAGGGCAAGATGGATGGATGGCATCCTTGAAGTGACTGGACTGACCTTGAAGGAGCTGGGGGGTGGTGACAGCCGACAGGGAGCTCTGGCGTGGGCTGGTCCATGAGGTCATGAAGAGTCGGAGAGGACTGAATGAACGAACAACAACAACAAATAAGTGTCTTGGGACCCTACGTGGTCTACGGGCTGCACATTTCACACAGATCATGAACACGGTTAGAAGTCTTTCCCCCAGAAGATGTAGAGGATATGTATTGCATGAGAAAGCAGATTCGTTTTCTGACATCTCCAGTTAAACATAGCATGGCTGTCAGAAAACAAAACAAAAAAAACCCCCGAGCCCAGCGGAGAAATTGCGCATCTTCATTGCCACCCACATTCATTTATATTTTCTTTTTTTAAAACAAACAAAATATACATGGTATTTATAGTATCATACTAGTACTTCTAGTGCTTCGTAACGTCTCCTCCAACTAAAGATGTGGCCTTCTGGTTTTTATCGAGAATGAATAATGTTCAGCCGGGAACTGGAAAAGAAACATACTTTAAAGCTAAGTGGCTGGAGTTCATCATTGTAGTTAGCATTAGAAACAATGACACCGTGGAAACGTGGAGGAGATTTTCACTCCCTTGGAAACTCACGGAGATGTACATTTCATGCTCCCAGCCTCCCCCAAAAGCAAAACCTGTAATGGAATCTGTGCATTATATCCCCGGACACGAGGATGGAGTGCCTTCATGCAAATGAAATGCAGATTAACCCAGGCCCTCGGGCTTCAGGCTTTCCCCCCACCATGACGCTGATGGTTTCTGAGCTCCAGGAAATAGAAGCACGTCCCTGGTTCAGAGCCTTGTCTCAGCTTCCACCGCAGGTAGCCTAGTTGGACACGAAAACACACCGCATCGCTGTCACCAGGATCGAAGCTCTCCCAGAGACATGGCAGCTGAAGTCCCCAAGAAATGCCAGAGGGAGGTTATTAGAGTTTATCTCCCAACTGTCAAGGATAAAACTGATCTGCAGAAGCTATTTTTGAAGGGAAGCAAGAGGAAAGGTTCAGCTGGGAAAGGAACACCCTATGGAAGGTGTGGGTGGACAGCCACGACCAGGGGCAGTTCGTCCATTACGCGAAGTAAGCGGTCGCAGAACACTTTTTTTTTTGCCAGGGGCGCAGAGGCGCCTCTGTAAATGCCCCTCGACCACCACTTGAGGAGCGCCCCCTCAGCTCACAACAGCCCTAGCAGTCCGGGGGGAGCCTCGGCTTTCTTGCCTCACTGCCGGGCGATCCTCTTACCAAAGGGGCCAGGCTCTTGAGCCTCGCCTTGCCCCTCTCGTTCCTGCTCTACCCAGCCACCGGGTGCGCGAGTAGAGCCGGTGCTCAATTGTTCTCCACGTTCGATCCCTTCCCCATGACCGGCTCCCTTTCCCGATCCCCTGGCGCTCCACCTGCCTCCTCTCCTCTCCCTAATCTGTGGGTGGGCCAAGGGGCAGAGCCACCACGCCTGGCCTGCTTCGGGTCCGGAGGCGTGTCTGAAGACCCCAGAGAGAGAGAGAGAGAGAGAGAGAGAGAGAGAGCCCCTCCGGCTGGAGGTATCTCCCACCTCCGCTCCCTCCTTTGTTTTTGCGCCTACCTTCAGGAAAGGTGGGCATCTCCACCTCTCTCTCTCTCTCTCTCTTGGTCCCAATGGCTGAGGAGAAAGTCAGGAGAAGAGATGACTTTTGGTGCACACGCCGGGGTCTTCAGGCACGCCTCCGGACCCAAAGCGAACCAGGCAAGGGAGCAAGTGCAGCAAGTGTAGTTTAGTTCACCTACAATCAAAGAGCATTCTGAACTCCACCAATGATGGAATTGAACCAAATATGGCACACAGAACTCCCACGACAAACAGAAAATATATATCAATGATTGGTTGGGGGGGGGGGGCGCCAAAATACTGTTTGCTTACCGTTGAAAATTACCTAGGGCCGCCTCTGGCCACGACTAACGTATAGAATAATAGAATCAAAGAGTTGGAAGAGACCTCATGGGCCATCCAGTCCAACCCCATTCTGCCAAGAAGCAGGAATATTGCATTCAAATCACCCCTGACAGATGGCCATCCAGCCTCTGTTTAAAAGCTTCCAAAGAAGGAGCCTCCATCACACTCCGGGGCAGAGAGTTCCACTGCTGAACGGCTCTCACAGTCAGGAAGTTCTTCCTCATGTTCAGATGGAATCTCCTCTCTTGTAGTTTGAAGCCATTGTTCCGCGTCCTAGTCTCCAAGGAAGCAGAAAACAAGCTTGCTCCATCCTCCCTGTGGCTTCCTCTCACATATTTATACATGGCTATCATATCTCCTCTCAGCCTTCTCTTCTTCAGGCTAAACATGCCCAGCTCCTTAAGCCGCTCCTCATAGGGCGTGTTCTCCAGACCCTTGATCATTTTAGTCGCCCTCCTCTGGACACATTCCAGCTTGTCAATATCTCTCTTGAATTGTGGTGCCCAGAATTGGACACAATATTCCAGGTGTGGTCTAACCAAAGCGGAATAGAGGGGTAGCATGACTTCCCTAGATCTAGACACTATGCTCCTATTGATGCAGGCCAAAATCCCATTGGCTTTTTTTGCCGCCACATCACATTGTTGGCTCATGTTTAACTTGTTGTCCATGAGGACTCCAAGATCTTTTCACACGTACTGCTCTCGAGCCAGGCATTGTCCCCCATTCTGTATCTTTGCATTTCGTTTTTCCTGCCAAAGTGGAGTATCTTGCATTTGTCCCTGTTGAACTTCGTTTTGTTAGTTTTGGCCCATCATCTCTAATCTGTCAAGATCGTTTTGAATCCTGCTCCTGTCCTCTGGAGTATTGGCTATCCCTCCCAATTTGGAGTCGTCTGCAAACTTGATGATCCTGCCTTCTAGCCCTTCATCTAAGTCATTAATAAAGATGTTGAACAGGACCGGGCCCAGGACGGAACCGCTTGTGGCACTCCACTCGTCACTTCTTTCCAGGATGAAGAGGAAGCATTGGGGAGCACCCTCTGGGTTCGTCCATTTAACCAATTACAGATCCACCTCACCGTAGTTTTGCCTAGCCCACATTGGACTAGTTTCCTTGCCAGAAGGTCATGGGGGACCTTGTTGAAAGAAGGCCTTCCTGAAATCCAGGTACGCTCCATCCACGGCATTCCCCGCATCTACCCAGCTTGTAGCTCTATCGAAGAAAGAGATCAGATGAGTCTGGCATGACTTGTTTTTGATAAATCCGTGTTGACTATTAGCGATGACCGCATTCGTTTCTAAGTGTTTGCAGACCACTACCTGAGCGAGACCAGTTTGTTGTTGTTGTTTATTTGTTCAGACACTTCTGACTCTTCGTGACCTCATGGACCACCCTATGCCAGGGCTCCCTGTCGGCCGTGGCCACCCCCAGCTCCTTCAAGGTCAAGCCAATCACTTCAAGGACTGATTCTCAATGCAGACCAATGGGGGATAGATATGTTGCTGAACTGCAGCACAAGGTCTGTCGCTGCCTCCATGTTTTCTCCCTCTATTTGCCAGTTATCAATCAGTTTGGTATGGAGCCCCCGGTGGCACAGTGGGTTAAACCCCTGTGCCGGCAGGACTGAAGACTGACAGGTCACAGGTTTGAATCCAGGGAGAGGCGGATGAGCTCCCTCTATCAGCCCCAGCTCCTCATATGGGGACATGAGGGAAGCCTCCCACAAGGATGATAAAAACATCAAATCATCCGGGTGTCCCCTGGGCAACGTCCTTGCAGATGGCCAATTCTCTCACACCAGAAGCGACTTGCAGTTTCTCAAGTCGCTCCTGACACGACCAAAAAAAAAATCAGTTTGGTTGCCATAATCTTTGTTTTTTTTAATGTTTGATGTCACACAGCCCAGTGCCCCACTATTACGCCTTTGTCTTCCAAGCAACTTCCTCCAAAGCTTTGAAGTCGAGCATGCCCCCCCCCCCAAAGGGGATGGTAACTTAAAGTTCTGTAAAGGGCAAAGGTACCAGACTGCACAATAGGGGTTAAGTCTTGGTCAATTTGCCAAGACACTAACAAAACAAGGACCCCATGAGGCTTTCGGGGAGCAGATTGGTCCCTGGGCTCCAGCCCTTGGAAAGAGTTATAGTTCTGTAAAGGGCAAGGGTACCAGACTGTACAATAGGAGTTAAGTCTTGGTCAATTTGCCAAGACACTAACAACAACAAGGTCCCCATGAGGCTTTCGGGGAGCAGATTGGTCCCCGGGCTCCAGCCCTTGAAAAGAGTTACAGTTTTCCAAGGGCCAAGGACAAGTCTCAACCTCAACGCTGCAGGACTCCCTTGGCTGGCTCAGTGGAATCTTTTGGACCTTTCCTTGTGAATTTCATGCTTTTAATCATTCCCCATGGACCCTTTTGTTTCCCTTTCAAAAACATACTTCTATATGGACCTTTCCTGTAATGAATTATAAGCATATGGTTCCTGCAACATCAACCCTATATATATTTTCCTTTGTGCTAGTGGCCTTCCCTTGACCTTTTTCATTCCCTTCCAAGGACACACACATTTATGAACTCTTCCCATTATGGACTATGGACTTATGGTATATATTTTCATGATTTTCCTTGTGGCTGAGGCTTTCCCCTTGACCTTTTTTCCTTCCCTTTCCTTATGATGAAATGACTAGCTTTTGACTATGGTATAGACTCTTGATCCCTGGACTTTGTTTATTGAACTCTCAGCGTTTGACCACTGGACTGGACCCTTTGACCCTTTGACTACGGCGTAGCTTTTGTTTATTCTGTGGCTGAGTGCTATCTTTATGTTTTATATTTTGGTCTATTAAAACAGCCAGCAAGTAAGTACTGTTTTAATTAAACTGTTTGATAAAACTGGGAGTTTGGTTCATCTCTACCTAAATAAGGCAGAGCCCTGGCAACGTGACACCCTACATCCGAAACAAGTTTTGAACCATTTTTTTGGATCAACCAAGCCTAGTCAAAATCCTGTATTTGTAATGGATGTTCCTGTTGAATTGTGGTTATCTGAAGTAGTGATAGTGACTTTCAATTTAATTACCCAGTTTTGAGTTCCACCATTCCATAGGATTGCGAGCCTTGGAAATGATCTTCGGGAGAAAAGTATTGTCATATTTTAGTTGTGGATGCTGCTGGTTTCCCCCCCAGGTCTGTTGGATCTTCGGTATCCTAACCTGTCTCCTGTAATCTTGGAACCCTGGAAACTTGAAACTTTGGACTAGCTTTTGACTATGGTATAGACTCTTGATCTCTAGACTTTGTTTATTGAAATCTCAGCGTTTGACCACTGGACTGGACCCTTTGACTACGGTGTAGCTTTTGTTTATTCTGTGGCTGAGTGCTATCTTTATGTTTTATATTTTGGTCTATTAAAACAGCCAGCAAGTAAGTAAGTGCTGTTTTAATTAAACTGTTTGATAAAACTGGGAGTTTGGTTCATCTCTACCTAAATAAGGCAGAGCCCTGGCAACGTGACACCCTACATCCGAAACAAGTTTTGAACCATTTTTTTTGGATCAACCAAGCCTAGTCAAAATCCTGTATTTGTAATGGATGTTCCTGTTGAATTGTGGTTATCTGAAGTAGTGATAGTGACTTTCAATTTAATTACCCAGTTTTGAGTTCCACCATTCCATAGGATTGCGAGCCTTGGAAATGATCTTCGGGAGAAAAGTATTGTCATATTTTAGTTGTGGATGCTGCTGGTTTCCCCCCCAGGTCTGTTGGATCTTCGGTATCCTAACCTGTCTCCTGTAATCTTGGAACCCTGGAAACTTGAAACTTTGGACTAGCTTTTGACTATGGTATAGACTCTTGATCTCTAGACTTTGTTTATTGAAATCTCAGCGTTTGACCACTGGACTGGACCCTTTGACTACGGTGTAGCTTTTGTTTATTCTGTGGCTGAGTGCTATCTTTATGTTTTATATTTTGGTCTATTAAAACAGCCAGCAAGTAAGTACTGTTTTAATTAAACTGTTTGATAAAACTGGGAGTTTGGTTCATCTCTACCTAAATAAGGCAGAGCCCTGGCAACGTGACACCCTACATCCGAAACAAGTTTTGAACCATTTTTTTGGATCAACCAAGCCTAGTCAAAATCCTGTATTTGTAATGGGTGTTCCTGTTGAACTGTGGTTATCTGAAGTAGTGATAGTTGGAGCAAGGAATTTTTCCATCAGGCTTAAAAGAGGCTGTGGTTAAACCACTCCTAAAAAAGACTTCCCTTGATTCCATGATTTTAAATAACTATAGTCCAATCTCAAACCTCCCTTTTTTGGGCAAGGTGTTGGAGCGGGTGGTTGCTGCTCAGCTCCAGGGCTTCCTTGATGACATCAACTACCTGGATCAGTCACAGTCTGGTTTCAGCCCTGGCAATGATACCGAGATGGCTTTGGTCGCCTTGGTGGATGATCTCCTTAGAGAACTGGACAGGGGGAGTGTGATCCTGTTGGTTCTCTTGGACATCTCAGGGGCTTCTGATTCCATCGATCATGGTATCCTTCTGGGACACCTCTCCGGGATGGGCCTTGGAGGTACGGCTCTGTCGTGGCTCAGGTCTTTCCTGGAGGGTCAATCCCAGATGGTGAAGCTGGGAGACGCCTGCTCAGACCCCTGGCCTTTGACCTGTGGGGTCCTGCAAGGCTCCATTCTGTCTCCCATGCTTTTTAACATCTACATGAAACTGCTGGGAGAGGTCATCCAGAGTTTTGGAGTTGGGTGCCATCTCTATGCAGATGACACACAACTCTACTACTCTTTTCCACCAAATTCCAAGGAAGCCCCTCGAGTGCTAGACGAGTGCCTGACCACTGTGGCTGTCTGGATGAGGACGAACAAGCTGAAGATTAATCCCGACAAGACAGAGGTCCTCCTGGTAGATCGTAAACCAGACCGGGGTATAGGGTGGCAACCTGTGCTAGACGGGGTTGCACTCCCTCTGAAGTCACAGGTCCACAGTTTGGGGGTCCTCCTGGATTCTTCACTTACGTTTGAAGCTCAGGCGTCAGTGGTGGCCGGGAGGGCCTTTGCACAACTAAGACTCGTGCGCCAACTGCGACCGTACCTTGGGAAGGCGGATCTGGCCAAGGTGGTCCTTGCCTTAGTCACCTCTAGATTGGATTACTGCAATGCACTCTACGTGGGGCTGCCCATGAAAACGGCCTGGAAATTCCAGATGGTCCAACGGGCGGCAGCCAGGTTGTTAACTGGGGCTCCTTACAGGGAGCGGTCATCCCTCCTGTTCAAGGAGCTCCACTGGCTGCCATTCATCTACCGGACCCAATTCAAGGTGCAGGTTCTTACCTACAAAGCCCTGAACGGTTTGGGACCTGCCTACCTGTGTGACCGCATCTCTGTATATGAACCCACATGATCCCTTCAATCATCCGGAGAGGCCCTGCTCTCGATCCCATCAGCTTCGCAGGCGCAATTGGTGGGGATGAGAGAGAGTGCCTTTTCGGTGGTGGCCCCTCAACTCTGGAACTCACTCCCTAAAGACATCAGACAGGCTCCAATTTTGGCAGTCTTCAGGAGGAACTTGAAGACGTGGTTGTTCCAGTGTGCCTTCCTGGAATAATGACCCCATAGTACTTTGTCCTCCAAAGCACTTTACATTTCTTTAGGTCTGGTCATATGCCCTTCCACAAACACCAGTATCACCTTCTGTTAATGCCCCAGCATTATTTCCAATTTTAACCTAACATTTGGCCTTCCCACTGTTTTTAACTATGTGTTGTTTTATTGATAATGTTGTTTCTTATTGTCTATGTGTTTTTAATTGCTTGTATTGTTGTTATTATTGCTTGTATTGTTGTGTTTGGGCTCGGCCTCATGTAAGCCGCATCGAGTCCCTTGGGGAGATGGTAGCGGGGTACAAATAAAGTGTTATTATATTATAATAATAATAATAGTAATAATAATAATAATAATAATTATTATTATTATTATTATTATAGTGACTTTCAATTTAATTACCCAGTTATGAGTTCCACCATTCCATAGGATTGCATTGGAGAACATAAAGTTTTCTAGAGTTAAGCATTAAGAAATATTGACACAATATTGGTGTTGATGAATCCTCCAGGAATAATAAGGCCTGTTTGAAGTCGATCCTATGCTTTCTTGCTTGAGTAACACTAAACAAATTAGATGGCACTTCCAAGTACGCATTGCGCTTGTTCAGTGTTCATACTCAAGGATACTTGTGCGAGAAAGGATTGGGAACGGTAATTTGCCCTCTTTTTGCAAGTACCTACAAGTAGGCAAAATTAACATTCCCCTTGAAGCTAGCCTTCTTCATATGTTGGAGACATAGGATAAGTTCCTACTCTGGGGAGAAGGGGAATAACTTTGCTCAAAGAGTTGTGCGGTGATACATGCAAAATGTATAATGCATCGCTCGCTGCTTATCCATTGTGCAGCGGACAAAGTGCATGCAAATGTCGTTTTTGCAAACTTGCCTCACTGAGATCACTTGGTGGATAAAACACCAAGAGGACTCCAGCCATAAAAGCACATCCTGGCATAAGATATTGCGCTTAATGTTAACTTTAGCTTAAATATATTTCTGCAGCCATCTCCGGGCTCTTGGAGACGTAAAAGCAACTCCTCGGAGAGACATCTCTGCGTGAAGCCTGCACCGTCTGAAGCAAATGGACTTCCTGCAGAAAAGCCCTGGCTGCGTTCCTAGCGCCAACACAGACAGAAGATCTATACGGGTCTTAAGAATGAGATCCATTTCACCGAATGTCAAGGGCATCCTTGGCTGAGCCTCTGCAACGAGGAAGTTTTAGTGCTCTGCAATGGTCTGTGAAGTCTCTGGGTATTTTGTGAAAGATGAGTTATGGCTTCGCCACTGACCAAATTGCGGCTTTTATCAATGGGGGAACAGAGCAAAAGGAGCAGCCTTGTTCTCTTCCTAAGCATCCTATTTGAAGCAGGCTGAGTCATTGCAGGGCGGGTTAAGTGCTTCCTGACTTCCTGATACTAAAGATATGAAATATAAATACAGTCATTCCTCCACGTTTGCCTTGATTAGGGTGCAGCACCTCTCCCAAAGTGGAAAAACACCATCATTTTAACCCGAGAGAGCATCTTTCTTGGAATCTCTAGGACAGTGGTTCTCAACCTTCGTCATTCCATGACGCCTTAAGATGGTTCCTCATGTTGTGGTGACCCCCAACCATACAATTATTTTCACTGCTACTTCATAACTGTAATTTTGCTCACTACCTCTGAGGATGCTTGCCATAGATGCAGGCGAAACATCAGGAGAGAATGCCTCTAGACCAGTGGTTCTCAACCTGGAGGGGTCGCGAGGGGGTGTCAGAGGGGTCGTCAAAGACCATCACAGGCAGTATTTTCTGTTGGTCATGAGAGTTCTGTGTGCCAAGTTTGGTCCAATTCCATCATTGGTAGAGTTCAGAATGCTCTTTGAATGTAGGTGAAATATAAAACCCAGCAACTACAACTCCCAAATGTCAAGGTCTATTTTCCTCGAACTTCACCAGTGTTCACATTTGGGCAGATTGAATATTCGTGCCAAGTTTGATCCAGATCCATCATTGTTT